ATTCCTGCTATCTCTAGAGAGATTCAATCCTCTCCGAACTCGACCTCTGAAACAATAGCTACTTTTACTCCCGAGGATCCCAGCAAAACCTTGCTCGCCGTCAATATGACGAGTATCACCAAGCTCTCTTCCTCCAACTACATCACTTGGAGTATCCAAGTTCGTGCCTTACTTGAAGGTTACCGTCTTGAAGGTTTCATCATTGATGATGGCTTTCCTGCTGTCATGCTTTCCTCTAACGGTACTACCTGTGCTAACCCAGCTTTTGCTCCATTTAGACAGCAAGATCGGCTTCTCTTTAGTGCTCTGCTTGGTGCAATCTCTGTCCCATTACAACTGCTCGTGGCTCGATTTGTTTCGGTTCGTGAGGCATGGAAAATCCTTGCAAATACGTATGGTAAGGCCTCTCGTGGGCATCTTCTACAGTTACGGGATTGTACCAAGGGTACGCAGTCCGTCGATGAGTATCTCCGCTTCATCACAGCCAAGTCGGACGAACTCTCTCTTCTCGGGAAACCTCTTGACCATGAGGATATTCTTGATGCTGTTCTTGAGGGATTACCGGAAGATTATAAGCCCATTCTGGATATGGTGCAAGCCAAGGATGTCACCATTTCTCTAGAGGAGCTCCATGAGAAACTTCTCAACCATGAGGCCAAGCTTGCTGTTGCATCTCCTCTCTCCTCGCCGTCATTGCCTGTGATGGCAAATCCTGTCGCTGCCCGCTCTCGTCATCCCTCTCGGGGTCATACCAATCATCGAGGTCGACCCTGGGATCGTTCTTCGTCTGGCTCCTCTCGTGGTTATCAAGGAAAGTGCCAAGCTTTTGGAATCTTCGGGCACAGTGCACAGCGCTGTCCAGAGTTTCGTCTTGTCACTGGGTCTCCTTCTGATATGTCGGGCTCGGTCTCTCCTCGTCCTTGGCAGCCGAGAGCTCACATGGTTGTTGCACCGTCTTTTGATCCGAATCCGTGGTTGGTTGATAGTGGTGCCTCACACCATATTACTTCGGAGCTTGACAACCTAGCTATTCATAGCCCTTACCATGGCAATGACGATGTGGTTCTTGGTGATGGTTCGGGTCTCTCCATCACTCACAAGGGTTTTACATCTCTTCCCTCTCGCACTCGCCCTTTATCTCTTGATAATGTATTGTGTGTTCCTTCTATGGCGAAGAATTTGATTTCAGTTTATCAATTATGTCACACTAACAACGTTTCGGTGGAATTCTTTCCTCGTTGTTTTCAGGTGAAGGATCTAAACACGGGGGTGCTCCTTCTCCAAGGACAATCTAAGGACGGCGTCTATGAGTGGCCGGCGAATCCTATACCTTTGTCGTCTCCTCTTGCCTTTAACCTTGTCCGTTTGGCATTTACGTTTAGGTCATCCGGCTTTGCCGATTCTTCGTCGTATTGTTTCAAGCTTTGATGTTTCGTTATCTAAGCATTCCTTGTCTTCCCCGTGTGACTCGTGTTTGGTCAATAAAAGTCATAAGCTTCCCTTTTCATTGTCCACATTATCTTCTTCTCGTCCTCTCGAACTATTATTCTCCGATGTTTGGACATCTCCAGTTATTTCCGTGGATGGTTTCAAATACTATGTGATTTTTGTTGATCATTTCACGCGTTACTCTTGGCTTTACCCTCTCAAACGGAAATCTGATGTTCACGACACCTTTATTCGCTTCAAAGCTCTTGTTGAGAACAAGTTCTCCTCCAAAATTTCTATGTTTTACTCGGACAATGGTGGTGAGTTTTTAGCTCTATCCTCCTTTTTAGCATCCCATGGTATTTCTCATCATACTACTACACCGCCACATACTCCGGAGCACAATGGAATATCCGAGAGAAAACATCGACATATTGTCGAGACCGGTCTCTCCCTTCTCCACCGAGCCTCCATTCCATTGTGTTATTGGTCCTATGCCCTAACCACAGCCACATACCTCATTAACCGCTTACCATCCTCGGTTCTAGGTATGTCATCGCCATTTGAAATTCTTTTTCACTCGTCTCCAAACTACTCAAAGTTACGAGTATTCGGTTGTCTTTGTTATCCTTGGTTGAGACCGTATGCACCTCATAAACTTGCTCCTAAGTCGACTCCGTGTGTTTTTCTTGGTTACTCCCTCTCTCAAAGTGCCTATTTTTGTCTTGACCTCTCTTCTTCTCGGTTATTCGTCTCTCGTCATGTCGTTTTCCACGAGTCTAGCTTTCCATTTGCTAATCGTGGTCTTTTGTCTGCCTCCTCTTCTTCCTCCGAGTCGTTTGAACCCTTCCGTCCTTCTTTTATGCCATCCGCTTCACGTGTTACTCCCTATTCACCGCCGGTCTCCACTGCCTCTTTTGGTGAGCCTCCGTGTCATGCTCCTTCGCCCTTGGAAGCTGAGGATGTTTCTCTGTTGCCGATGGCTGATACCGAATGTGATCGTTTGCCTAATTCCTTGCCGACTGTCGAGGAAGAGCCAGCTGCCTTGGTTCCGTCTCCGACACGCAATCGACATCCTATGACTACGAGGGGTAAGAACAACATTGTGAAACCGGTTCAGAAGTTGACCTTAGCTGCCTCTATTGTGAACTCTCTCAGGGAACCGACCTGTGTATCTCAAGCTCTGAAGGATCCTCGTTGGAGACAGGCTATGTGTGATGAATTTGATGCCTTGGTTCGTAATGGCACTTGAGAGCTTGTTTCGTCAGTGGGTGTTTCGAACACGGTAGGTTGCAAATGAGTTTTTCGAATCAAGAAAAATCCTGATGGCTCGATTGACCGCTTCAAGGCACGTCTAGTTGCGAAGGGATTTCATCAACGTCCCGGTGTGGATTTTCAGGAGACTTTTAGTCCGGTTGTCACCCATTATAATACGTGTTGTTCTTAGCCTCGCGGTCTCCAATGGTTGGCATATTCGACAACTTGATGTTAACAATGCCTTTCTTCAAGGTCATTTATCTGATGAGGTGTATATGTCACAACCTCCGGGTTTCGTGGATAGAGATCATCTGACATTTGTTTGCAAACTTCATAAGGCGATCTATGGGCTTAAATAAGCTCCGAGGGCTTGGTACTCTGAATTACGTACTTACCTACTTGCAGCTGGTTTTGTTAACTTTGTGGTTGATGCGTCTTTATTTATACTCCGTGATGCCGGTGTTCAGCTCTTTGTTTTAGTGTATGTTGATGATCTCATTGTTACGGGAAGTTGTGAACAACGTATTCGGGACTTTCTAGCCAGCATTAGCTCTCGGTTCTCTTTAAAGGATCTTGGAGCATTGTCTTTCTTTTTGGGGATCGAGGCATCTCGATCGAGCAAGGGTATGTTTCTTAGCCAACGCAAGTATATCAATGATCTCTTGGCTCGGACAAACATGCATGACGCTAAGACGGTCGCAACTCCCATAGATTCTACCTCTTGCCTCAGGTTCACCGTTGTCGGATCCCTCGAAATTCAGAATGGTTGTGGGTAGCTTGCAATATTTATCTCTTACTCGGCTAGACATCAGTTTTGCAGTCAACAAGCTTTCTCAATTCATGCATTCCCCGACTGATGAACATTGGGCAGCAACCAAACGTGTTATTCGCTTTCTGGCTGGCACACGATCGACATGCATCTTTTTCTCCTCTAACAACATCTCGTCGCTTCACGCTTTTAGTGATTTAGATTGGGCTGGCGATCCAAGTGATTTTAAATCCACGGGAGCCTACATTGTCTATCTTGGTAGACATCCGATCTCATGGTCTTCCAAGAAGCTCATGGGTCTATCCCGGTCTTCTACAGAAGCTGAATATCGTTCGATTGTCAACACACTACAAAAAAAAATCCCAAATTCCAACCGACAAATCCGTTGGAAATGGCCGAAAATATGTTTTCATACTCATCAATCTTGATGCAAGAGATAAACGTGACTGACCTTCTTTACATCCTTCATAGATAGGATGATTTGCCATATCCAACATGTCGAAAAACCGTTTTGTTTCGACGTTTGGCTCCTCCTGATCTTGTGATGAGTTTTGCTCAGCCAATGCCCCAGGAAAAGCATCTGTCACCATTTCAACATAAGGATTTCTTACATGATCTTCATCTACATCATACATTTGCTCGGCCGAGACATGTTGTCTTGTAATTGTCCGAACTTCTTCTCCATGAAATCGCCAAATATAATAATATTCGACAAATCCCCTTCGAAATAGATGTTTACAAACATCTTCTGGAATGCGATATTTAAAATTGCAACAACTTGTACATGGACATAGCATTTTTCCACGTTCTTGGCACAACGGCTGTATAGAAGCAAAATTCATAAACTGTTCCAAACCGTTAATGAATTCTTGCGTTACCTATTTTGTAATCGAATCAACTCTTTCGTATATCCACTGCCGGGACGAACGAATATTCGGATTTGTTGAAGAAGCCATTTTTAGGAGAATTTTTGTGTAAGAATAGTAGAAGAATGATTTAGAGAGTGGTTTGGGCGAAAAATGGTCGGATGGTTTAAATAGACAAATATTCCAACGGATGTCCGTTGGAAATCCGTTGAAAATATCGTTACCGTTACTCTTTCCAACGGATATCCGTTGGAATAATTCGAACGTTATAACGTTCAACTACTTCCAACGGATTTCCGTTGGAACCCTTGCCGCGTTTCATAACGTTCGGATAATTTCAACGGCTTGCCGTTGGAATTTGTCGAACGTTATTTCCAACGGCATTCCGTTGGAATATGCGTGGAAAATTTCCAACTCAAATATCCGTTGAGATGTCGTTGGAAATTTCTAACGGATTTCTAACGGATAGATCCGTTACACATCCGTTGGAAATCCGTTAGAAACGCGTTGGAATTATTCCAACGGATAAATCCGTTGGAAAAATCCGTTGGAATTTAGCATTTTTTTTTTGTAGTGACACTTCGGCTGAACTGAGCTGGCTCTCTTCTCTTCTTCGCGAACTTGGCTACTCCTTGCCATCGGTCCCGACGATTTTTTGTGACAATATCGGTGCTACATACCTTTGCGCTAATCCTGTCTTTCACTCTCGGATGAAGCATCTCGCGTTGGATTATCATTTTGTTCGGAACCAAGTGAATGTTGGCTCCCTTCGTGTCTGTCATGTCACTTCTAAGGACCAACTTGCAGATATTTTGACCAAACCGCTTCTTCGTACCTCCTTCAGTGATTTGCTTCCGATCCTCCATCTCGATGGGGTGTATTAGAGATATTATCAATATCTTGTATATATTTGATATCTCCTTAAGTTAGGGAAGTTGTTGTACATACTCGTGTATATATATTGATCGAAAGCAATAATACAAGTAAGCCTTTCAAATATCTTATATCGATCGTGTAACAATAACAACAACCAATAAAAAAAATGAGGCTAATTGATATATATTTATAAGAAGTTAAATTATCGAGATCTTAATGTATAATATTTATATAATCGATAAATCTATTATAAACCATATAATCGATATTAATATGGCAATTCGGTTCCTCACAGACACAAATATGACATCGTTCCGTGTATATTTTCTAGGGGTGACAATTGGGTCGGTCGGAGCACGCATTCGTCTTGAAGGTTCGGACTGGACTCAGACCGGTCTGATTTTTTTCGGACCTATGTAGTTAAGTCCGAAGTCCAACCCTATATATTCCGGACTCGGGTTGGATCGGACGAGATCAGACCGGTCTGCATAAATCCCTTTGTAAATCTTATTTTTTTGTTTTTTTTTTAATATCGGGTTTTCAGACCGGTCCGATTCGAGTCCGAAGCTCGATTCGAGTCTGGCCCGAAAGCCCGATTTTTTTTGCTGAGAAACTTAGGTCCGAAGTCCATTAATTTTCGGATTAAGCCGGGCCGGACTTCGGGTCTCGTACCCAAATTGGTAACCCTAGTATTTACCAAATAATCGTTTTTTGGGTGTGCAGTAAGTGGCAAAGAGAAGTGGACATTTGTATCGTCTAAAATTTTTGAATGGTAAATTTTTTATAAAATCAATTTTTTTTTAACCGATCAGAGTATTAAAAAAAAATCTAAAAAACCAATTTTTTTTAAAAAAATCTAAATTTTCTTAATAAAAATCAAAACCGAATCGAATATGATATAATAATCGATTGATATATATTTTTATAGAATCGAACCGAATACCGAAAATTCCACCCCTAGTGGGAAGAAGACCAACCTAATAAGTTTATACTTTGTCAATAAATATCGCATATATAAATACATAATATATGTATATATGTAGAGAGAGAGGGAGAGGGAGAGAGAACTTTTGACTCGTGCAAAAAATCACACATACATCATTACGACTACGATAAGGACCAAAGATTAATATATCCCTTTCAATTTTGCTTCATATATAGTATTGATGTGTTTTTCCGGTGGCCCCATTTATAATTTTCCAAGAAAAAAGAAACAGAATGTTCAACATCTTATGTGCCGAATGAGAAAGCATTGTTATTTACAATTTTAAGGAGGAAATATATTAGTTTTTTATACCATAATTTTTCATCATTATAACTAATCAGATTCGTTGTTATAACTATCCAGTCTTTTATTTGACATGATTATATGTTATTAATGTCTTATTTTGTTGTTGGAATATATATATTCATGGTCTTTGTTAATTATTAGTTTTATCTTTTCTGATAATTCTATTAAAATTTCATTAACCCATTTTTAAATAAATACAAAAATAAATGTATTAGCATTTTTAAAAAAAAATAAATACATAATGATCACAGCCCCCCCCCCCAACTTTAATTTTTTTTAAATGAATTTCGTAATTCATGTATAACTATTTGTGTGTTGGTTCCACGCCTCTTGTCGATAATTCAACGACCGCAAAGTTTTAATTTTTATTTTTATTTTGTGAATTTGCAACATAGCATTAGCAGCCTTTTGGACATGCAATTTTGCACGTGAGAAAGACTTTGAATATTGAATCTTGACAGCAATATAGATATTTCACTTACACGTTCAAATTTATATATCGGTGGCCATTTATAGTAGCTGATCATACTATTTTCCAGAGCACAAGTCTTGAATACAATTACATATAATATACAATAATTCTATTTTTTTTTTTAAATATAGCACAATTCCTATCCGACGTGCTCCTAAATCCCCTATGGAGGTAAAATTTTTCGAACTACTATAGACGATGAAATGCATCTTACAAAGCGGTTGTAGGTCTATGTTATTGGAGGTGGATACGAAAGAAGTTGTAGAAGAGATCAATAACAAGAAATCATTAAGTTGACAGAGATATACTCAAGAAATTGAAGTGTTTTGGAAGAGGTTTCCGAGTATCAGTTTGGCTCATATACAAAGGAATAATAATTCTCCCGCTGATGCGATTGCGAAATTTGCTAATTTCGTTGAATCGTAAATCTCTTTTTGTATTATGTTCAAACTCCTGTCCTGAGTGGCTTTCTCGGATTGTAGCGAAGGATTGTTCTTCAACTTATTAATTTTTGTGAAAAAAAAAATTCCTATCCGACAAATATTAAATTGAGCATTTATGTGCGGAGTTCGATTTTTTTTTTCACTACAAAAATGAGTATTCGTCGTTGAAGTTGTACAATAAATTCAGAACTCCCTCCATCAACATTGCCCTAATCCCAAATTTACGCTCATTTCGATTTTGAGTTAGTTTTTTATTCAAAATTTATATCAATTCCAATTCATTTCTAATGACTAGTTTCCACGTAAATTCAGAACTCCGTAACAAAAAAAAAACTATAGCTCAATAAAACAAAAAAAAAGTGCCATTGATGTGAATAACAAAGCCATCTAAAGTTTAACTAGTATACAACCCAACGTTTGTATCAAAGGATTATATCTCTTACTGTCTTCTCGATCCTTGACGCATCAATACCTATCCGAGAAATAATAGCCTGCATGCATAGACATGCTTAACTATAAGATCATATGTAAAAAAAAATACCTAAATCAAACCATTACATACATACATACATACATACATACATAGGGTATATATACTTACTTTGACAATGATTGTGCAAATGGTCTTGTGTTCCATGTTATGAAGATTGACACTCATAATTTCAGCTCCTTCTTCTTCAAGAGCAGTCATGATTCTGAGAAGTGCAAAGTTCATGGCGTCGGGACCGATGATGAGGTTGAGTTCGACGGTGGATTCCCGAGCACTGACGTGAAGGCTCGGCGAGAAGCGTAGCCGATTCTCCTCCTCTACTCTTCCTCCTAACAATCTCTCCTTCTTCTGCTTCAGCTCTCTCACCCTTTCTTTCAGCTGTTTCATCCGAATAGTTGCTTCGTCTATCAGCTGTGGCACCGGTAACTGCTACCATATATATATGCTTGTGTTAGGAGCAAGGTATACATATATATATATATATGTATCTATATATTTGCATATAAACATCTATATATTTTTTTGCTAATAAGTGAATTACCACATTCAGAAAATGCAACCACATTGCATATGTGATATATAACATGTACCACAAATTAATTGGATCTTTGATGTTAGTTATAACGTGTATATATATACATGTGTGTGTGTGTGCATGCAGGTTACACTTGAACATTGCAGACAAGTTCATATATACATTCATTCATAATAAACGCGTGTGTATATATTTTTTGTTATAAACTTTATTTTCTTTGTCGTGAAGGACTATGTCTCTACTGTATGCAGTATGTACGTATATGAGTTTCTGTGTGGGCGTATACACATAAACACAACATATGTGTACTTGCACATACATATATATATATATATATATTTGCATACCTATATATATATAGATATATACGTAATACATGCATAGGTATAGTGTATATAGAGTTTGGATTTTGTTTTTCATGGACCCTTACGCATGCAGTGTGTGTGTGTGTGTGTGTGTCAGCTCATACATATAAACACAACGTATACATATGTATACTTGCATATACATGCAAATCTGCATATATATATATATATGTGTATATATATACATTGAGAGAGAGAGTACCCTTTTGTTGGAGACAAGAGAAGAGAGATGAGAGAAGAGATGTTTCATGCGCATTCTTCTGTCTTTCTCTCTGAGATTACGCTGTTCCCTCAACAACGATGAAGTTTCTCTCTCTTCCTCCATTTCCATCCTCCTCTTCATCTTACTCTAAATCTATATATGTATATTACCCTTATATATATATATATATGTGTGTGTATGTATATATGTTTGCTCAAAGATGATGTTTTCTCTTTAACCCCCCCCCCCCATATATATATATATATATGTGTATATATATAGTCTCTGTAAGAGCTAGAGGGACTCATTGAATAGTGAACAAGACGAAAGAGACGTTTTCCACGAAAGTCTTCCGTTCTTGGACACGGAAGTCATCAGTTGTGTCTGAAAACTACACAAAACAAAATTATGAATTTTCTAAATCTTTTTAATTATATGAATTTATAATTTGATCCCCCCTTCAAATATATAGACTCGTAAAATTTTGTACTTCAAATATATATTATCGTCGGGGTTTTTGTTTTCTGTTCAATAGTAGTAGGCAAAGTATAATTATCTATATTTGTAGTAGAGATTAATCGCCGAGATTGCAAAATAAAATAGTTTATATATACGTTTAGATATTTTCTTCTAATAACATAAATACAATGATATACTTAAATCTCAAATTAAATGTCGTTTTTAACATAAATCTCGAACAATTACTGACAAAACCAAACACAAATAAAACACCGAAAAGATCTGACGTTTGCCACCAAAAGTGGTCCCCTCGATAAATATAGTTAACGAATGAAATAAGATTTTACATATTATCATCAATCATATATACTTTCTCTAGAAAAATCTTAAGAAAATCATTTATCGTTAAATATTTCGTTTTTAAGTATACGAAATTAAATCCAACCGCTTTGAATAGCACGCAATTGTATCGAGTAGGATTAAGAATATATATAGGTTATATAAAATTTAAAATTAAATTGATAAAATTGAAAGTTAATACGAAAATAATGAATTTTAAAAAATAGTTTTTAAAAGTAAGTAATTTTTAATAAAATTTGAACTGAATCAAATTCTAAAATGTTGATACACATAGGGTTCTAATTTGAGGAAACAATTTAGAAAAAAAAAATAAAGAAAAAGCCTAAAGATTAGGAAAAAAAAGTTTGACTCGGAGGCTCGGAGAATAGATGGTCAACCGTTAATTTTCGGGAATTCTACAACAATTATAAAAAATAATAATAATATATCGTTTTCTTGGAATTATAACGGCAAACATGCCACGTGGATTTAAACTTGGGCGGTCCGACAGCAAATAAATATAGTCAATTATATAATAAACACGTGTATATCTATATGTAAATGCAAATTAGTCCGACAAATCCTATTTGGCACGCCATTTACATAATCGCAATAATTGGCCGATTTTCAAGTATATTATCATTTGAATTCAATGGACATAATTTGAAATAAATGTTTGAAAAGTTTATTCTGAACCTATAAATAAATATAATTATTTAACACGGTTTCACTTGAACTGCTTCGTTCGTTATAGGCGACATGATAGTGGTTTTGTTCTCTTTATTTTCGACACGGATAATCCTCTAAAAAAATATCACGAATTCCTAAAACAATTCGTATAAAATAAAGAATTTTATAAATTCTTTAAAAAATTATAAATTTCATAAATTTTGTCATATTCCTATAAAATATATAAAAAACAATAATTTTATATAGAAAGTATAAAATTTATAAAGTTTAATGAACACGTGGGAATATAATAAAATTCAAAAATTTTATAATTTTATATAAAAGTTATAAAACTGATGATTTTATATAGAATTTTTTTTATGAAAGTTTGTGATTTTATAGACGATTCTCATACAAAATATTGATTTTTATTTTTTTATATTCATGTTCTTATGTGAGTGCAAAGCTTAAAAAAAATAAGAGATATGGATCAAAGAAATGAAAATATATATAAAGGGCGTGCAAACAGAAGACGATTACTCAAACAGAAGAGAAAGAGATGGATATGAAACATGAATTGGGGATATATATATATAGAAAACATGGGTGAACGATATCTATAAAAATATGAATTGTATTTGAGTGGAGCCTTCAAATAATATGCGAACTGCACAATCTAAATTGTATGAGATTAGAAGTGTCAATCGGACTGGTCCGACCCGAGCTCGCACTCGGCCTGTGGGTTTTGGACTCGGGTTGGCGCGGTCCGAGTTTGCACTCGGTCCAAGGCTTTTGGGCTCGGCTCGGCCCGATTTTTTCGGACCTAAATCACCGAACCCGAAGCCTGAGCATATAGAGTTCGGTTTTGAGTTCGGTCGACATACTAATTTTGTTCTTCGAAATATACTTATTTTTATTTTTATTTTTATTAAATTTTTTTTGAGAAATTTGTTTTTGGTTTTTAGACTAGTTCGAAGTCCGATCTGAGATCTGAAAGTCCAAAAATTTTCGGGTCCAAATATTTTGATCTGAAGTCCGCTATTTTTAGGGTCAAGGTCGGGTCGGATTTCAGGCCAAAATTGACACCCTTACGTTATACGTAATATATATACCGATAGAAATTTTTGTAGTACAAGTTGTTATTTAGGAGGAGTGAAGTGGAAGATCTGAGTACTATTCTAATAAAAATGAGTTAGTATTTGATTGTTAGTGTTATCACAGAAAGAATCGGTTGGATGACCTAATATATTTATATATATATATTGTATGTATATTATCAATATCACATTCAAAACTAGGAAAAAAGAGTTTGTCCCTAATCAAAGATTTCCATCTTTATATAAAAAAAGAAGAAGAACAAAAGAAATTATATAATTATTTTTTAGCCCTAACTTAAAGTCCACGCAACTTAGCAAACAAACATCAATTTAAAATTGAAATAACCATTATCATAACGTTCACAAGATGTTGTAACAAATCACACACAATATGTTTCACCTTGGTTGACTTTGCAACAATGCCAAAAAAAAATATGTTTTTTTTTGGTTACGTTAAAGAATGTCCAAACGAAAATCCAACGTATACGTAACCAGAATTTGATTTATATTTAGGATACGTAAAATTACGATATGTACTTTTATATTTACAAAACATATAACTATCCCTTAGATAACGTATCCTTTAATTAACGAATATACCCAATATTAACCTCAATTTAATTAGTTTTGAAATGAACTCTTAAATAGTCATTTATTTAAAATTTTAAATATTTATATTACAAAAGCCTGCAACAGAAGACCTGTCATGTTATCAAACCTAGAAGCCAAGCCAACAGCAGACTTGGAGTTCACTTGAATTCTTCGATCCTTGAAGAGTTCTCTCGAAAAAAAATCAATAAATTTCGTGTCTGTATATAATGAAGAGATTCTCATTTTGCTGCATCTCAGGCAAAGTTTCCAAGAAGAGAAACCAGAACTCAGAAAAGGCACTGAATGAAGTTTGAATCTTTGTCTGTTTTCTTCGATTCCCTGTCCAAATCATTTGCTAGTTTCATCTGGGTTTCGTTTGTTTTTGTTGTGTTTGGTAAGAAATCGAGAGAGACCATGGAGGCTTCAAGGAGAGATGACGCCATTGACAATGCAGAGGTAATGGTTCTTTTTTTTTTCCGTCGCTTCGAGATGTGTTGCAGAAACTGAAAACTTGGATTGATCTTTGAACCCGAAAGGCGAAAGTGTGAGATTCACTGGGAGTTGTTCTTTTCTTCTTGGCCAAGTCTTTTTGTACATTTTGGTTCATTTCCAAGCTTCTGCTTCTGTATGAATCCAATTCTTGATTTCTTTCCTTCTCGTTTAAGCTTGATCCAGAGTCAAATGTCCCGAAAGATCTGTAACTTGATCTACTTTGGTTTGCTCTTCTCTCGACAGGTCGGAAAAGAGAAGAATCCCGGCAATATAATACTGAATCACGACTTCTCCTCCGGTTTACAGTCTTGGAACGCAAACTTTTGCAAAGCATTCGTCGCCTTTCCGGAAAGAGATGTCTCTCCCAATGTTTCAGACACGTCGAACTGCAGATACGTCGTTGTAACGGATCGGAAAGAGACTTGGCAAGGCTTGGAACAAGACATCACAACACGGGTGAAACCTGGTCATGTCTATAAACTCTCTGCTTGCGTCAGTGTCTCTGGACCAGCCGAGGTTTTGGCCACGTTGAAGCTTGAACACTTGGAATCAGAAACAAAGTATCAGTTCATCGCAAAGTAAGAGGCTTTTATCTTCTGATCTTGTTCCTGGATTTGCAGAAGAAACAATATGATGAGAATGGCTTTTTTTTTTTGTGCACTTGGAGAGCTTGTGCCTTTAAGGAGAAGTGGGTGAAGCTCCAAGGCATGTTCTTGATCCCAACCTTACCCGACACAGTTGTTTTCTATCTGGAAGGCCCATCCCCCGGGATCGATCTCCTCATAAAATCTGTCTCCATCCACGAAGAGGGCAAACCCGAGGTAATAAATAGCCTTTCCAAGCTTTTCAGAATGCAGAGAATGGACACGGGTTTTGTCTAAACGTTTGATCTTTTGAAGGGTGAGCTGGAAGAACGTGCAACGAGAGGAGATGAAAACGTGATCTTGAACCCGGATTTCGTTGATGGATTGAACAGTTGGTCCGGGAGAGGATGCAAGCTTGTGTTGCATGAATCTATGGCGGATGGTAAGATATTACCTGAGACGGGTAAGGCTTTCGCTTCTGCTACAGAACGAACACAGTCTTGGAATGGTATTCAGCAGG